AAGAGAAGAATAGAATAAAAAGGAAATTAATAAAAATCCATTACTGGGAAGATAAGTATAATCTCGTGTGAAAATAGGAGGGGGAACTGTTCTTCATAAAGATGTTGGAGCTGTTCGGGTAGTCGACGTTGGTCATTGATTCGTGGGTATAGCAGACGAGAGAAGAGCTCTCAAGCCGAGGAACGAGAAAGGCACGAGTAGTGTCCGTGTGTACGTTAGGAAAGGAGCGGAATGTTTGCTTGTAACCCATTATCGAGCGCGTTTACATGATGATGCAGTCCTTCTTTCCACCTCCGGCTTCGATGCCGTCGCCACGGAGATAATTTGCAGGCAAAGGATTTCCGTGGGCATCGCGACCCGGATGGGTGTGCGGGTTCCCCCTTCAATCTTGTCATAGCTCGTTTATCGCCCTGGTCCGCTGCCAGCTTGAAATAAATCATCGCACTTAACGGAAAAATTAGTAATCAATCGCGGCCTTGATATTGTTGGACTTACTCAGCGAGGCTAGGAGGTGTGCCAATACCCGTTTCATAGAAATATCCAACGGCATACTGAGCCTTGGCTAAGCCAGCATCCGCTGCTCGTTTTGCCCAAAGGAATGCTTCGGTATCGGATTGGGGCAGGACACCTGGAGATCCAACAAGATACCAAGCTGTTAACGAAAAGCAGGCCTCGCGATGGTTCTGTTGAGCTGCTATATTCTGTAGAAGAGGTCAGTTCTGCAATCTAGAGATGAAAGCGGGAGAGGTGGTACGTACATAATAGTGAATACTCAATGCCGGATCGGGTTGGCAGCCAAGGTTGCCATATTCATAAGCTTCTCCCAGTCTATATGCGCTTGGTGCGTATCCCAATTCTGAGGCTTGGCCAAGGAGCTCCGCTGCATAATCCAGGTCCACAAAGATTACATTGTGGACACCCTTCTCGTGGCAAAGAGCAAGCTCGTGAAGAGCATGCGGGAACTCGGCCGTAGCATTTTCTGCACTACGCTGGAGCCACCTAACTCCTTCTTTCGCGTTCTTTGGGAGTCCAAGTTCACCGTTCATTTCGGCTTGGCCTAGTCGGAACATGGCACCAGGATGCCCTTGTGAAGCTGCTGCACGGTAAAAGTGGGCGGCCTTTGCTGAATCTTTTCGACATCCCCAGCCGTACTCGCAGCATGCGCCAGCCCGATAAGCGGCATCGACGTGGTTGTGTTTGGCGGCAGCGACGAACAAGGGGAATGCACGATCGAAATCCTGCCTCCCTTTGATTGTCCCTATTCCGTTCGAGTAGCAATCTGCTAGGGTGTATTGGGCAAGCACGTGCCCTCTGTCCGCAATTTTTTTCAGGAGCCCCATTGCTTCCTTGATGTAGCCCTCTCGCTTTTCGTTGGCTCGATCTATTTCTAGTTGGTTGGAATAGGTCGCATCAGCTGGGGGTACTACAACGGATTTAGAAGCTTCGAGCATGAACGCGGCAAACTCGAACACCATTTCGGGGTTGGAACTCTTTTTGGCGTTTGCACGATAGAGTGCTAGAGATTGCTCATTGGAAAGAAGAGCTGCTTTAACTCCAGGTTGCAAGTGAGACTGATCGAGCAGTGCTGGCGATGGATGTCTGGGTTCGCCTTGGCCGTACATAGCGGAATCGTTGTAGGGACCTCCATATGGATATGTTCCCGCATTTCCTGTATTTCCATAGAATCCATCCCCTTCCCCAGCTAAAAATTCCCTGTCATCTTGATAGCGTGGGTTAGGGGGTGGGCCCCATTGCTGTGACTGCGATTGGGGGGGATGGGGTTGAAGTTGAGCGGCCGAGTTAATACTGGGTTGACTTTGAGAAGGAGTGCGAGCATGCTGCTGGAGGCCATCTGGATACTGCGAACGTGGTCGACGTTCTGGGACTTCTCTCGAGTTTATGGGTTCCTCCAAAGGTGCCGTTCGCGCTGGCCGCGGCCTGGGCGACGCATTTATGGAACCAGCTTGGGTAGAGACTGTTCCATACCCTGTAGGGGCCGTCGGGGCGAAGTCTTGTCCTTGATCCAGTGATCTTCTCGTTGTGGACGCTGGACTGCCGTTTGCTTGTCCGCCGTGGGTTCTGCTGGAAATTCGCGGCGGAGGCATGAATTCATCGTATGCCGGTACTTCTTTTCGTGTTTGTTTCGACAACTTGTTTGGGGATCGAGTATACTCTTTAGAGGATCGTGAGCGGCCACCAGTGGACTCATGGCCGATACTGTCCGCATCGTTGTTTTCTCTCAAAGCTCTAGAAAACTCCTTTGAAGACCGTCCGACGCTGGGGGGTGATTGACCCTGCAACGCCAAATGGTTTGTAGCATTGGTGAGCTCTTGCACGGAACGGGACATTTCTTGAATATCGGGGGAAAGTTCGTACGAAGCTCGTGTGGGCACTACACTTTCCTGCTGAGCGTTTTCGGACTCCAGGGCCTCTGGAGGGAGGGGTGGAAGAGGATGAGACATTGTAATCGAGGTCTGGGTTCAAGTACCGAATCGCTTCCAGCTGCTGCGTCACTCCACGCGTGAACCCTTGCCATGTTAATCCGACCGGATAATTCACTCAGAACTGATTGTCAAGATAAGGAGCATAATTTTCCATTCCACGGGAATATACGCGAGACGAAATGACCTCATGTACATTTGAAAGGCGTGCGCAAACGTGCCTGATCGCAACGAGAAATATCTTATTCTGACTCAAATACACTGTTAGATGACAGATCCAACTATGCCCAGCCCAAAATAATCTCTGCACTAGAAGTTCCCTGCCGGAGTGGTGTGCTCTGGAGAGGATGTGTTCTTGGACGCTTGGGCCTCAGCTGCGACCTTGAGGACTTGGTAGACAACTGAGAAGTCCTTTTGCGCCAATGATGTTTGCCTGGCCACGTTCTCATACACCTCTTTCGCCGCAGTTCCCAGAATTAGTGGCGTGGTAAAGCTTTCGCCGGCATGAAGAGCCAAATTCATGTCCTATCAAAGCTTTAGGGTCTGCATAACACACCATTGTTGGCGAAGATCATACCTTGAGCATCAGCGCCGTCGCAAACCCGCCCTCATAATCTCTTGTGCAAGGGGCCGTGCTTTGCGAGAGTGCCTCTGGCACCGGATTGTTCACTTCAGAGCTCCAGCACCTCCCTGTAATATCTCGTCAATATCTCGTTGTAGCGCCCGACGTAGCGAAAGATCCCGGCGGTTGACCAAGTAGCCACCCTTACCTGTGGATGTATTCAATACCCCGGCAAGCACATCCGGTTTCAGGCCCATCCTCTGTCCTAGCAGCATGCCCTCCGCCACAGCGATCTGTTGGACGCCCAAGATCATGTTGTTACAAATCTTGGCCGCGAGTCCCGCTCCAGAGGGACCACAATGTATTGTTCGAGCTCCCATTAACGATAAATATGGCGTCGCGAGAGTGACGGAGGGTTGAGGACCTCCTATCATAAAGGATAGTGTACCAGCACGTGCACCAGATACGCCTAAATATAGAAGATCAGTCAATACACAATAGATCATGATGAGGGTACGTACCTCCCGACACTGGTGCATCAACCATCATTGCACCAGCTTGCTCGACATTCTTCGCCACGTCCCTGGCTACGTCAATATCGAGCGTTGTCGAGTCGATAACAAGAGTCGGTTCTCCATTTGGCAACTTTGCCAAGGCAGGTAGGATTGCCTTTTCTGACGTCAGGTAGACAGACTTGTAGAGGCGCTTCAGTGACTATTAATTGAACAGTAAAATGTTCCTTACCTGAACTTGTGGCGACGATGGTAACATCGTAATGAGTGTTGATGAGAGTGCGACGACTCTATACTGTCTCGTCAGTTTGGAGCAGACGGACAGCACCAGAGAAGCGATGAAATATAGATACATTGGACGTACTCTGCAGGGTCTTTAGCCACTTGAAAGTGGTATCCCGGGAACTTCTCCTTCAGCTTGCTAACAATGGCTCTTGCGGCATCCTGGTTGACGTCGCACACAGTGAAAGCCGGAGGCGGATTCGATTTGCTACTTGTTTCTGAATGTCTAACTTTGCTTCCCGAGTCGCTAGTGAGCTCCTCCCCGGTGATAGGATTGACCTTAACCTCTGAGGCAGCGTTGATGGCAGCGGCACTCGGGTTTGACGATGCAGAGTGCGCAACAATTGTCTTTGTAAATAGGTTGGTGGCCATCTCAAACCCCATGCGTCCCAGACCTATGAAGCCAATTGTTGCCGAACGGTTGGTGAGCGCTGCATTGAATATTCGAGCCGACGGTCGCATATTGGTTATCTTTGCGGTGAATAGTGTGAGATTTGACGATGTATTGCACCAAAGGATATACGAACCAACGGTTATATCCCAATCTAACGTGTGCCTCTTGGTCGAATGTCCAGTGAACTTCCCGATATCCTTCTCGCACGTTACACCACAACTGTTATCACTTTACTTCAGAATCAGGAGTTTAAACCAGAGGTGGTCCAAACAATGGAAAGTTTCGACCAAAAGTTGGGTTGAAGATGGTTCCAGGTTGGCTGGATCCGGGTCACTCACATGATCCACAACTTCGTCGACTACACTCGCCTAGCATGGTGCCCACGCATTCTATCTCTGGGATAATCGTAGATTGGACATCTTAACATTATATACTGATATAAAGTCGTTTCCATCTTACCTCACTGGATCTGCACTCCACTTTTCGAGAGATAGCTTTACGCTTCACAAATATGCAGGCAATAGGACTAAAAGGAAAGGTATTCTTTATAGAATATTTCTTCCTCTCAGGCCTTAGTAAGTTCAGGAGATCTCAACGCCACATTCTACGATGAGGGACTACTTGCAGGCCCGTTTACCCTGCTCATACGTTTGTAAATGCATGTAGATAACCCTTTGATCCCAATTTCACTTGCTTCATCTTATCCAAATGGTCTGGGCGCTCTCGGAGACTCTTAGCGACTCAGGCACGAATACTTCATCTCGATCCCCGCTACTTCGACCACTTTGGTCAACTCTTCAAAATGCGACTTTCTCTAAGTATATCAATATTCAATATAATCCAGTCTTTACAAGTCTATGCATCTCTTGTCAATGATGTTAATACGGATACAACACGCGACCAACTAATCGATTCTTCCTCAACCTCCGCTCTTCGCAAACGGGCGAACCACAACAATAGAAAGGGACACCATAACTCTAACAAAACACCTTCTAACCCCGCTAATACATACTCATACAATGACTATAATGATGGCATCCACCTCGCAATTGCTCCTTCTTGCGGGTTCATCGCTGCCAATGCCTGGGCAGGAGACATAAATGCCGGCATTGACTGGAGGCGAATTCAAACCGTAGTGGTATTTGGAGATAGTGTGAGTTCTCATTGATAAACCCAAGAATGATAGCTAACAAGTAATCACGTTGTCCTTTTTACTGCTTTCGGGGATTCCAATGTTCCGCTTTCATATTACCGCAATATTGTATGCATCTGCATCAGTTAACGCAAGTTGGGAATAAAGGAGATGGCTCTCCACCCGCCCCCATTCGATTTGTTGGAAAGAACCCAAGTGCTGGTGGCCGGCATTCCAATGGAGAGACATGGATAGGTATATCCATTTCCCCCGTAGAATAACAACATGGTATACTTAACATTTTGACAGAACATCTCGTGCGGTTCGAGGAGTCACCAAGCTCTCCTCGCAAATTGATTTCCTATGCCACCAGTGGATCGACAACGGACAAGGAGATCTGGCCAAGTAGAAAATGGGCGGTAAGTTATTGATGATATATTTGTATTACTGGTGACTGATATCTTGGCGTCTACAGGATGATTTCCCTTCTCAGCTCTCTCGCTTTTATGCCAACAATACAGATCTACGACTGGACCCAACAACCACACTCTATGCTGGTTACTTTGGTATCAAGTGAGTCTATAGCCTTTCTTCTAACCTAGTTATGCGAACCTTACCATCAAACCTTTAGTGATTTCTGGTCTATGGGTACAGATGGCGATCACATGCAGAGGGCAGGAGAGCGCGCTGTGCGCCTTCTTCAAGACTTACACGAGAATGCAGGAGCCACGTTAGTCAATTTTCATGACCCTAAACCCTTTTCCTGATACAAATCTCGAATCCTTGCAGCAACTTTCTTTGGATCGGCATCCAATTCCACCGCACAGTCGCCGATCAATACAATCTGGCGGTCTGGAAAGGATTAAGGGACATGCATCAAGCTTCTTCAAGCGGAAACACCGCGCTTGGTCAGGCTGACGCTGAAAGAATCAACTTTGCTTTTGTTGACACTAGTAGATTCTTCTCTGCCGTCGACGAGTCCTACGCAAAATTTGGCTACGTCAGTAATAGACACTGTCTTGAAGGAGTGAGGTCAAGCATTGACGACGAGTGCGAGGATCCCGAGAGGACTGTATATTATATGGGTGCTCACCCCAGCGTTCAAACTCATCGGATTTTGGCTGAATATGTTGCCAATGTCCTTCGGAAATGTCAAATTGGGCATAAGCAGTATGTTCAATTTATCTTTGCACTGGGACTCTTTTCTTGTCATGGAGTCTAACTTGAGGTCCCACTCATCACAGGGCCTACACATCTTTGTACAACCACGGTAATGGCTCAATGGGCTCTATTGGTGACTACATACCAGGGTATCTTAGTGGGGGGCATTTGTTCATCCTTGCCAGTGTTCTCGTAGCACTTTTGGCTTACAGGCCTTTCATAAGGGCTTCTCGACGTGGTGGATTAGGCAGAAGTGCCCTAGCTCTACTCACGCACAGGAAGGCTCGTGGGTTTGAAGAACAACAAAACTCATGATCGCTTTAGTTTGCGGTTCCAGATCCTACTGTCACCTAATGTCCGTTCAAATACAACTTGCGTGGCAACTCGGCTGACGATAGGCTTGGTCTGTTTGGAAATTCCTGACCTCTAGGTCAGGTCTTGTCGGCCAAAATTCCTCAGAGTGGTCAGGAACATGACTTTGACAACTGAATGCACCTTTGAAAGATTGAGCCGATTAGTGCCCGCGCTGTAGACACACTTTACGCCCTAATTCGACCTTTTTACTACCTCCTGGCACTCATGATTGAGCCGTCGCCAATCAGAAAGGCATAAGTGCTAGTCAAAAGGCGGTTATCCTTATAGAGAGTCCAATCTGCGTCAAGGAATCAGCAATAAGGCAGCCAATCAACTCGCAAATTGGTACCCCGTCCATCACGTGTGACTGGGTGCAGCAATGAGTACTCGGGCTCCTTGTGACTGGATAGGTGAGCAATAGATACTCTTTTGTGAGCCTGGATTTGAAAGTCCTGCTTGAGGCCAAATTTTCCTCAATGGCAATAAGTACAGGAAGAGACCCTCCAAAGACGATGGAGATGCAATGTGCTGGGTGGAGTTCTTAGCTATAGGTACATTCAATGCATCAC